TAACCATCAATAATTATTTTAAATTAAAATGGGTTAAATGCTCTAATAAAATGATATAGGGTGGCTGAATGGATAAGAAAACAAGACCCATACATATGCTATCTGCCAGATTCCCACTTCAGATAGGAAGACACACAGCCTGAAAGTAAATGGATGGAAAAAGTTATTTTATGCAAAAGGAAATGAAGAAAAAACTGGGGTAGCAATACTTATATCAGACAAAATATACTTTAAAATGAAGGTTATCACAAGAGACAACAAAGGTCACTACACAATACTAAAGGGATCAATCCAACAAGAGGGCATAACCCTGGTAAACATATATGCAACCAATATAGGAGCATCTAATTATTTAAAACTAACAAACAAACTTCTAGAGAACTTTAAGGGACAGGTGGACAACATTACTGTCATAGTAGAGGACTGTAATAGTCCACTGACTTCATTGGATAGATCATCCAGAAAAAAAATTACAAGGAAACAGTACAGTATGGAGTTTCCTCAAAAAATTAAAAATGGAACTGCCTTCTGACCCAGAGATTCCATGTCTGAGAATATATCCTAAGGATCCCAAAACACCAATCAGAAAGAACATATGCACCTCTATGTTCAGAGCAGCATTATTTAGGATAGCCAAGACATAGAAGCAACCTAAGTGCCAATTGATAAATGAGGAAAGAAGTGGTACATACATAAAATGGGAATATTACTCCACCATAAAAAAATGAAATCTTGCCATTTGTGACAACAGGGATGGACCTAGAGAGTATTATGCTACATGAAATAAGTCAGGCAGAGAAAAACAAATGCCATATGATTTTACTTATATGTGGAATCTAAAGAACAAAGTAAAGAAACAAACAAAACAGAGATAAACTCATAGATACAGAGAACATTTTGATGGTTGCCAAGGGGAGGGGGAGGGCGGATTAAGAGGGAACTGGTAAAAATGGGGAAGGGATTAAGATGTGCAAATTTCCAGTTATAAAAACAGTCACAGGGAAGAAAAGTACAGCTTACAGAATATAGTCAATAATACTGTAGTAATTATGTAAGGTGTCAGATGGTTACTAGACTTATTGGGGTGATCATAAGTTATATAAATGTCAAATCACTATGTCATACAGCTGAAACTTAATGTGATATATTATATGTCAACTGTAATTGAGTAATAAAATATTATTTTAAAATTAAAATATTTTAAAAAGTAAATGTAACCTGATAGTGATCAATGTAGGTAGTGTAAAAAAAGAGTATTCATTTGACCTTAGATTGATGCCTAGAACTTCCTCTGATAAGTCAGGACACCAGGCCTTTAGAGAACACAATATATTCCAGGTAACTTCTTTCTTCTGTAGTGAAAAATATCTACAATCATAAAAATGTAAGCCACTATTTGTCTTCAACTCTTAGAATCATGGAAAATATAAAATGTCTAAATAGAAGTACAGAACAGAATGTAAATGTTATCAAACATAGCAATGTAAAAGTAAAATGTATCTGAAAGAAGATAGGAGGTGGAAAGGAAAAAAAAGATAGAAGGAAGTAGAGGGATGTTTATATATTTATCTTATGAAAGATACTGAAGGAGTTGATGGATTTATAATAGTCAGAGAGTAGAAATAACCCCTTTATCAGCTGATGGATGAAGAAAGAAAAGTGGTGTACTTACACGATGGAATTTTACTCAGCTATGAAGAGGAATGGAGTACTAGCCTGAATGAGCCTTGAAAACATCACAAGTAAAATAAGCCATTCACCAATTACCACGTATTTTATGAATCTATTTATAGGAAATATCCAAACTAGGCAAATCTATAAAGTCATCTCTCCGGACACCAGGCCTTTAGAGAACACAATATATTCCAGGTAACTTCTTTCTTCTGTAGTGAAAAATATCTACAATCATAAAAATGTAAGCGACTATTTGTCTTCAACTCTTAGAATCATGGAAAATATAAAATGTCTAAATAGAAGTACAGAACAGAATGTAAATGTTATCAAACATAGCAATGTAAAAGTAAATGTATCTGAAAGAAGATAGGAGGTGGAAAGGAAGAAAAAAGATAGAAGGAAGTAGAGGAATGTTTATATATTTATCTTATGAAAGATACTGACGGAGTTGATGGATTTATAATAGTCAGAGGGTAGAAATAACCCCTTTATCAGCTGATAGATGAAGAAAGAAATATGGTGTACTTACACGATGGAATTTTACTCAGCTATGAAGAGATCCTCTCCTCTCCCGACCCTCCTCGTACTCCTAATGTTTGAATGCAGTGATCTCGGGTCAATTTCATGCTCAGAATCCTCCAAATGCTTCCTGTGGTGTTTAGAATAAAATTTCAACTACTAATTCCCGAATCTCTGATCCCTGTGGACTTGCTTTATCTCATCTGATGCCACACTTCTTTTCTTTTCTTAGTTCTTTGAGCTCTCCTCGCTGCTGCTGAACTCCAGGCTTTTGCGCTCCCTGCCACTCCACCTGAATGCTCTTCCTGCTGGTCTTCACGTGGCTGACTTTTCATTTGTGTTAGATTTGATGTTGGTTCTTCAGAGACCCTTCCTGGCCAATCTGCTCATCCTTATCTGGGAAGATCTTGCACGAAGTCCCTGAAGGATGAAAACAAGAGCCAGGATTGAGACTCCCCTCTGGGTTCTTTTGGGCCTGAACCAGAGGAGCAGCAATGGCTTGGGATAGAGAAAAGAAAAATACTGATGGTATAGAAAACATAAATCAAATTAATATATCAATAAACTATCCAGCCACGTGGAAGCTCATCATCCTGCTACTCCAAACAGCCACTTACCTGCCACCTTCATATTGAGCTTTGAAGGACCACTTTCCTTCTAATTCCATGGTGGTGGTATTCTAGAATTTTTGATACCTGTATCAATTAACTCTCTCCTCTCCCGACCCTCCTTGTCCTCCTAATGTTTGAATTCAGTGATCTCAGGTCAATTTCATGCTCAGAATCTTCCAAATGCTTCCTGTGGTATTTAGAATAAAATTTCAACTACTAATTCCCAAATCTCTGATCCCTGTGGACTTGCTTTGTCTCATCTGATGCCACACTTCTTTTCTTTTCTT